GGTTGCAGGGGAACTGCCCCACTGATCGACCCTCTGTGATGCCGGGCCTGATTTCGATCACATCACTCTGTACCAGCAGGTGGGGAAAATAAGATTAATCAATATTAAACAATAATATCACATTTCACCACCTTTTAACATTTTAAATTAATGAGCTATAAATATTCCACAGGCCTCTGAACAAACGGACAAGCGACTCCATCCCTCCATCATCTCCTTCACACTTCTCTCGCTCTTTTATACATTATCTCTCTTTCTCACCACACTCTTATTTTTCTGTCGTTCTGTCTCTCTCTCATATTCCTTTCTCTATGTCTTTCTCTTTCTTGTTCTCTCTCATTCTCACATATTCCCCCTCTCTCTCTCACTCACACTTCTGTCTCTCATTATCTTCTCTCTCTCTCTTATGACCTGGTGGTTCTGTGGATGATCGAAGATGATCTATTAATAAAGAGAGAGAGAGAGGCAGAGAGGGAGAGAGAGGGAGAGAGAGAGAGAGAGAGAGAGAGAGAGATTTAGAGAGTGATCAGTATTTGACTCTACAGAAACCTGTATAATAATGTACCAAGGCTGAGCTGAAACAGCTGTAAAACGGGCCTCAAAAGGATACCTCCCTCCCTCTCTCCCTCTCTCCCTCTCTCCCTCTCTCTCTCTCTCTCTCTCTCTCTCGCTCTCTCTCTCTGATCTCACACTGATCTTGTTTTTTAATTTTCCTACATGCTCAAAATGACAGTAAACAAACTAATCACACAGATAGACACCAACATCTTCCAGCGTGAGCTCGTCTCACACTGACACACACACACACACACAAACAAACTGCAGAGAGCATCAGAAATAAAAACCTCACCACTACACAGAAAAAAGGCACTGTATATATACACACACACATAGTGGAGTGTTTTTTTTACTTAAACCTGGATATAAACAACAGAAGGTTTTAGAATCTTGAAAAATTTTAAACAAAGAAAAGTTATGAAAATGAAACTGACGAAGAAATACTGAAGATTATTTCTAGGTCACAACTTACACTGAAGCAAATCTGTGAAATTGACCACATTATTCGGCTTTTTTACTTTTACATAATTTGTATTCTCCAGCTACCTTTTGCATTCAAAATTTTAAAATTAAAATTACTTGATGAATGGACCAAAAGAAATGGAGCAAAAATACTTGAAAATAAATTTGCTACATTAACTTGTGTTACAGGTTAAGAAAGTTGCTTTCCCTCACCCGTGGTTTTGTTCCAACAGCGGCTATATGTGTGTGTGTGTGTGTGTGTGTGTGTGTGTGTGTGTGTGTGTGAGTGTGCGTGTGTATATATACACATATATATTTATATATATAAGGTGGTACTGTATGGCATGGTATAGCAGTGTATATATAAAGAACAGGACTAAAATTGATTAGGGTGAAGATACAACCAAGATTATATTGCGTATCAACTCCACAGAGATATACGAGTCATGTACTGTGCAGCACATCAGTAAACCCAGACAAAACTTTTGTTGGCTCGCTCCAAGACCACAGTTCAGTCGCTCGCTACACATTTCATTTTAAAAGAAGCAAAATAAAACATTTAAAAAACAACACACTCAAAGTTTCACCTTTCTACTAACATAATGTCCACAGCACAGCTTAGCCCCAAACCATTATGTGGACTTGCAAAGCCTGGACATCAAAAACACTTCAAAAAGGCTTCACCAGCATTTCCTTTCTTCTCAGTAAACACACAGTGTCCCGAAGCTATTTACTCATATAATAAGGTTCAATAACAGAATTCCACACACTGACGCACATTCTGCTACGACAGCTATTTGTTCAAGTAAACTCACTCGGAAAGAAGCTTTATATCTTCTATATGCACACAAGCTCAAACATGCACGCCTGGGCATGGACACGAACTAACCCAGGACAACAGTGCAAGACAGCAAAAGGCTTTCAAATGCAAAGCAGCGAGACTCAACATTCAGCTCGCTCCCAAAACAAGATCTAATCAACCTGATCCAAATTATCATCAACACTGCAGTCCAGTTATGACCAGCATTCAAGCGTCCAGCAGAATTTAGCTCCAACACAACTCTACCATGTCTGATACCATGCCAGGTAATCAATAACTGATCAATAACGTCAGGTGCAGTAAGTGTAATCATCAAGTATCCAGAGATCCAAACTGAGACCAAGCAGCATTATTTCCTCACATCAGGCGCATTTTCACCAGAGGAACCTTTTCAGGAACTCAGTTACTTTTAGGTGCATTTCCATTGGAGGAACCTTTTCAGGAACTCAGTTACTTTTAGGTGCATTTCCATTGGAGGAACCTTTTCAGGAACTTGGGTAATCTTGTGTACTCAAAATGTTCCAGAACTCTCTTTAGATCCTCAAAACATTCCATTAGTTTCTGGCTCCTCAAACGGTATCAGAATTCTATGGTTTGCAAAAGGTACCAGATCACTACGGTTCTTCTAAAGGTACTGGCAGAACTCTTTAGTTTCTCAAAATGTATCAGAACTCTGCAGCTCTTCAAAACGTTCTAAAAAACTCAGCTAGTTTTAGGTGTACTGGAGCAATCTTTTCAGGAACTTATGTATTCTTGGGTATGCAAAAGGTTCCAGAACTCTTTGGCTCCTCAAAAGGTTCTGGAAATCTTTAGCTCCTCAAAAGGTTTAAGACTCATTGGTTCTTCAAAAGGTACTGGAACTCTTTGGTTCCTCAAAACATTCCATATCATTTTGGCTCCTCAAAAGGTTTCAGAATGCTATGGTTTCCAAACAGCACCAGATCACTATGGTTCCTCTAAAGGTACTGGCTAGAATTCTCTAGTTTCCCAAAAGGTATCAGAACTCTGGAGCACTACAAAAGGTTCTAAAAAATCAGCTACTTTTAGATGCATTTCCAGGAACATTTCCAGGAACTTGGTTATTCTGAGGCATTTTCCATCAAAAGAACCTTTTAGGACCTTTTAGGTGCGTTTCCACCAGAGGAACAATTACAGGAATTCACAAGGAACTAAAGGATTTTAGCTCTGGGCTGTTTTCCAAGAACATTTTTAGTTCAGACTCCAAATAAAAGTCTTTTCTGCAAAGCAGGGAGACCAAATACTGAAGTAGAGCTTCTTATCCTGAACATTGCTGATTGGTCAAATGCAGGTTTCACAGAACCCACGTTCAAAAACAGTAGAGCAAGCAAGAAAGGACAATCAGTAAATAACATGGAAAAAGAACCTAAACCTAGAGAGTCAGCACGTCCATCTTTGTTTGATGTGTTGCTGTATAGTAGCTGCTTGCTGATAAGACTGAACTGTCGAACCGCTTATGTTATTTTATATAAGGGTCACAGTTCCTGTGACCAAGGTGGTGGAATTCCTTAAAAGCAGCCAGAACTCTTTAGATCTTCAAAAGGTTCCAGAATTTCTTAGATTTCTCAAACGGTATCAGAATTCTTTAGCTCTTCCAAATATACTGAAACTCTTCGGTTCCTCAAAACATCCTATAACTTGTTGGTTCCTCAAAAGGTATCAGGATGCTATGGTTTCTAAAAGGTACCAGATCACATTCTTCAGACTGAGGGAGGATGTGTTGTAAATGGTTCTATCAAGCCCCTTTTTGAAAATGGTTCTTTATAGCACCAAAAAGGGTTACAAGCTTGACAATGTAACAATCAAAGAACCCTTTTTGGTGCTGTATGTGTCTTTTAGGCCATGAATTCTTGCAGATGTTCTGGGTTCTTTGTGTTTGTTCGTCTTTGTGTGTACATAAGACAGGAGCTGGATAATAATGTCTGCTAAAGGAAGAAGTATAAATGAAAACTGTAAACTCCTTAGTTCCTCTGACGGTTCCAGAACCTCAGTGGAAATTCGCGTATTGGTGCTGCAGTGTCAGACTATTCATCTCATGTACAGCCAGAAAACAAATACGTCTGATTCTTCACACTCACAGGACAAAGCAGGCCGATCTCAAGACACTATTCATACAGTTATTTTTAATACCAGACGCCTTGAGTTCCACAAAGATGTCTGACGCTGAGAAAGTTTTACTTTGAAAAACATATAAAAGTATCAGGTTGGTTGTGAAGATTAAACTTTACATCCACCAAGACAGTCTATCCCTCAAATCAGGCAAGCTGTGTTAACTGCCAGCTAAGACTTCACTATCGAAAATGAATTCTGAGACTTTTCTTAACAATAATGGACATTAAAAAGGTCCTCATTCTGTCTTTTCCTGCGTACGTCAGATCTATTAAACTAACACAGTAAAAGATATTTTGTGACTTTGTTTAAGGTGATTTCAAAGAGGAATGGGCCATGTTGTATTTGTGTAAAAGACAACAAATTGTGCAATTTACTAAACAAATTATTAGTGAATTATTCTTATGGTGTGTGCAATATTAAATATGTCCCCTCACTGTCTCATCAAGCATACTCATGAGAGCCGTGATGCAGGTTAAGTTCTTGTGTTTATGGTAATTGTAGTCCGTCAGGTAATATGAACAGTAGAGAACGAATACATGGGCTCACGATGTACAAAATGCCCAAACTTTTACCTTGGGGCTGTTATGTAATATGGAAAGCTAACAATTTTATTTTAGGCTTTACAGTTTCCCTGCTGAAAAAAAAAATTATACCAAATGCATATGCATTTATTCCTGCTATCTTTAGCTTAGAGCCTGTCTTTAGCTTATTTTTTTTAAGAATTAAAAGATTAAGTTAAATTGCATAGTAAGTATCATTACCTTTAGATAATAAACTATTTTGCTTCATGTTTTTAAATTTGTGACTTCAAATATGTTATTTGGAGTCACAGGTTTAAATTACTGGTCATAAAGTACTGCCTCTATGCTAAAACAAATTATTTGTGTTAGGCATCTGTAACTTTCACAGCACCAGGAAAGTGCACTATATTGATAGAGAACTGTAGGAGAGCATTAAAGAGCATTACTGAATATGGCAGAAGACAGTAGAGTAAAGTACTGTAAATACTGCAAAGTGGACTTATTCCTACCTTCACATGATTGTATTCACTCTTGTTGGTGTCTGCGTTGACTTGTTTATTTTCAGGGCGGGGTTTCAGCACCTGCCTCAGAGGGCTGGAGATGGGTAATCCAGTCACACTGATGCCATCTGAAACACAACAATTCACATTAGAAAACACACAGACCCTGGTCACTTCATGTGTCTTGAGTGTCAGGATTATATCCGGATGAGGCCAAACCACATAACGCAAGTGTAAACGCAGCCAAGAGGCATTTAAAACAGATACAATTCTGATCACTCAAACCACATCAGGAGGTGGACTGAGACACATTTGAGACACGTTATAGCAGCGTAAACGCAACTCTCCAAGTCTCCAAGACACATTTGACAACCAAAACCCCATCCAGCATAACCAAAACTCCTACCACAACTGAACCCCCTCCAGTATAACCAAAACCCCTCCCAGTATAACTGAAATTCCTCCCAGTACAACCAAAACCCCTCACAGTATAACTGAAAGCCCTCCCAGTACAACTGAAATTCCTCCCAGTACAACTGAAATTCCTCCCAGTACAACCAAACCCCATCCTAGTATATCTGAAACCCCTCCCAGTACAACCAAAACCCCTACCGGTACAACCAAAACCCCTCCCAGTACAACTGAGATTCCTCCCAGTACAACCAAACCCCATCCTAGTATATCTGAAACCCCTCCCAGTACAACCAAAACCCCTCCCGGTACAACCAAAACCCCATCCTAGTATATCTGAAACCCCTCCCAGTACAACCAACCCCCCTCCCACTACAACGAAAACCCCTCCCAGCATAAGTGAAACCCCTCCCACTACAACCAAAACCCCTCCCAGTAAAACTAAAACTCCCCATGCAGTACGTCACGGGGCTCATGATTCACGTCTGCGCGGAAGATAATCATGGACGACACACACATGGTTGGACAGTGGACGAAACAAAATACTTAACAGCAATAAGGACAGATACTACTGTACAAAACAAGCTGCAGACGAACAACTGCTACCTGGTCGCCTCATAATGAGCGGATTTGCATATTCCATCCAAAACAGCAATTGGATTTCAGTCTGACTAACCAGAGACACATTTGACTACCAAGTGTAAATGCATGTGGCTAAAAGCTTATCAGGATACAATCCAGACACCATTCACATGAAGTGACCAGGTGTAAACGGCATCTGAAACTGATTGGCTGAAGCTGCTGCAAAATGCCATTGTTTTATTATGGCAGCTATACATGATTGATATGAAAGAAGCTGCACCTTTGCTGTCTTTTTATTTTGGCATGGCCATCTTTGTGAAGAGGTGTGAATCATTTTCACAGCAGGGGTCCTCACCCTTAATTCACCCCCATTGATCACTAGCAGCTCAACCCAGAGTCATAACATTTCACACACACACAGAGACAACAGAGTCCTAGTTGATCTGATAGAGTTAAGACTAAATTATTTTAATCTCATTAATTTTCCATTCTCTCTGTGGAATGGCCACTAGGGGGCTGTACTGTTCATGGAATAATAATCATTAATTGTTATGTTGCTTGGCAACCATAGCCTCCTTTAAACAAACTTTATTTCTTAGTGGAAGTATTGTTTACTGTGATTATTATTATTAAAAATGAATACAATTAGTTAGTGAACGGAAGTCTGAAACCACCCTTCAACCTTCATCTACCTAATTTCCAAACACAGCATCACTGAATACAGGTTATTCATTTTTCTGGGGATGTTTCTGAGGAGGATTAGATATAGAATAATTCAAATAACTGGATCCAATACAACTGCAAAAGGAAGAGGAAAGTCAAAGGAAAATATGAGGTGAAAGAAACAGGAGTCTCCAAAACTGGAGCTCAAAAAAATGACTAAAACAGAGCAAATGGGCCTCTTAAGAACCACCTGGAAGACCTGGTCGACACCAACACTGTCCCCATCAGATAAACAGCACTTAAAGCTTTCATCTTTGAGAGAGAGGAGAAAATCAAGCTGCTTCAGATCTGAAAACATCCACAGGTGTTTCTGTCCATCCTTCCGCTGTGAGAAGACCACTCAGCGCTGTGGGTCTGAAAGGATGTGTAGCTGTTAAGAAGCTTCACTGAGAAAAGGAGACGGACACATCAAACAAAGAAGCTGAACGATGGACTGACCACCCCAGAGTCCAGACCTCAACACCACTGAATGGGTTTGATTACTTCAGAAAATCATCAACCAGCTTCTAAGACTGAACTTTGGAGGTGTGGAAAATATCCCTGCAGGTTTCTTAGAGAAACTGAAAGTGAGTCTCCTGAAAAGAAGGGAAGCTGTAATAAAGGTAAAGCGTGGCCAGAATAAACACTGAAAAATGTGATATTATACTGAGTTTTTTTCAGACACATTTCAGAAGACTGGAGGAGACTACACGTGCACTTTAAGCGTCTGACGTCTGTGATCGCTCTGCGTCAGAGCCTCAGCATCAACACCGTGAGACTTCTACTGCCGACTAGAATAGCATTTGCATATTCAGGACACACGTGCGCACATGACAGCGGGTCTCCAGGTTCAGAATGTGATATCCGTGAGAGCCTGTTTGCGTTAAAGGGAGGAGTAGCTAAGGGCTACGCAAACACAGTCATGTACGTCACGCTGAAATCACGCAGCGCAGAGAGAGAGGAAATGAGCAGAGGGCTGTGGGCTGCAATAAAGGATAAAAAACCCACTCATTCACTTTCATTCATTTAAAAAAAGCTCAGGGGACGAGACTCCATAGCTTTACATTCACACAGCGGCCAGATGCAGCCTGGTCCATTAATCATCACACCCATATACATCCTGTAACACATCTGGCCGTGTCCGAAAAAGTGACCCTCGCTCATTTGTTGCGTTAATTCACCCTGATCAGCTAAGTGAGGGCACATACCGTCTGAAAGACAACAATTTACCAAAATGAGCCAGTAAACAAATACAGTAAAAACAAATTATGGCTCGTCGTAAACAGAACAGAGTCACTCGGTGGGTTATTTATCAACGCCAGCGGAAGGCACAGGGCAGCCGTGCATAAACAGTTGCCAATTTATTTGATGCACGGCATTGCAGGAGTACTCGTGTACACTTGCTGGCTACTTTAGAAACTTCTCCCTTGTAGCTCCACCTTGCTGGTGTAAAAATAAACATGTTTGTATCATCTGGTAAACTTTAAACGAAAAAAAAAAACAGCTTAAAAATTGAGCTTTTATGGCGTCCCATTATAAGGGGAGTTGGTCAACCTTTGCGGCCATAACAGACTCCACTCTTCTGGGAAGCTTTCGGCAAGATTTTTGGAGAGTGTCTGTGGGAATTTTTAATAAAGTTGTTTCTAATAAAGTGGCCAGTGAGTGGAAGCACAAGATAGGTGTTTCCAACAAAGTGGCCAGTTAGTAGAAGCACAAGATAGGTGTTTCCAACAAAGTGGTCAGTGAGTGGAAATACAAGGTAGGTGTTTCCAATAAAGTGGCCACTGAGTGGAAGCACAAGGTAGGTGTTTCTAATAAAGTGGCCAGTGAGTGGATGCACAAGGTAGGTGTTTCCAATAAAGTGGTCACTGAGTGGAAATACAAGGTAGGTGTTTCCAATAAAGTGGCCACTGAGTGGAAGCACAAGGTTGGTGTTTCCAACAAAGTGGCCAGTTAGTAGAAGCACAAGGCAGGTGTTTCTAATAAAGTGGCCACTGAGGGGAAGTACAAGGTATGTGTTTCCAATAAAGTGGCCAGTGAGTGGAAGTACAAGAAGAGAGAGAGAGAGAGAGAGAGAGAGAGAGAGAGAGAGGGAGAGGATGAGAGAGAGAGATCTGAATCATCAGAAGTGAATTGGAGGCTATTATAAACACACATAACTCTTCACGTTCCCGGCTGAGAGAAGCAGAACAGACGAGACGATCCATTACACCATTACTCCTCTCTTCTCCTCCTTTATTCTCTCTCTCACCGCCTCTCTATCTATCTGTCTATCGCTTCCTGAAATAGAAAAATCCATAACCTGCTGTGGGGTGAAAAACGACGTGCTATAAACAAACCGTAAATAAAGCACACAGCGATTGGGTTTGGAGTGTTCAATTAGAGTGTGTGGCGTTATCTCTTTATGATATACAGGACGAGGCTCTACACACACTTACAATTACTCACAGGTATACACACACACACACACACACACACACACACACACACACACACACACACACACTTAGTAGAGCTCATCACAGGTGCCTGATTTTTGTGGACGTCTGAGGTCCTGGGGAGTTTTTTCTATTTAACAACACTTTCAATATTAGACAAAATAATTATTGTCCTTACAGAAGCATCTTTAGACAGAGCAGTTAGTTATATAATAGTCATTACACCACAGTTACTTCTGACATCACTGTGTTATAGACACTCTACAAGTGTCAAGGTCTCCTGATAATAATCCTCTGAAGTTGTGTCGGCACTCTGTAGCCGTAATCATTCCCGCATAACACCACATGCATCCTACAAGCAGGAGTCTTTAAACACCTCAGTGTCACTGCTGGACTGAGAATAGTCCACCAACCAAAAATATCCAGCCAACAGCGTCCTGTGGGCAGCGTCCTCTGACCACTGATGAAGGACTAGAGGATGACCAACACAAACTGTGCAGCAGCAGATGAGCTATCGTCTCTGACTTTACATCTACAAGGTGGACTGACAAGGTAGGAGTGTCTAATAGAGTGGACAGTGAGTGGACACAGTGTTTAAAAACTCCAGCAGCACTGCTGTGTCTGATCCACTCAGACCAGCACAACACACACTAACACACCACCACCACGTCAGTGTTACTGCAGTGCTGAGTATGATCCACCACCCAAATAGTACCTGCTCTGTGAGGGTCCTGTGGGGGTCCTGACCACTGAAGAACAGAGTAACAAAGTATGCAGAGAAACAGGTGGACTACAGTCTGTAACTGTAGAGCTACAAAGTGCTAGTGTGGAGACAAGGAGGTGGATTTAATGTTATGGCTGATCAGCGTGTACCAACATCAGCTACTCCAATGGCAGCCTGTTAGACAAAGCATCCTGGTTTATATCTGGCATTTTTGGTCTTATAATGTCAGCTCAGTGTGCAGCAGTGTTAGCTTGCATGTAGCGCTGTTTTG